GCCCTGAAGTCATCGAGCAGTTGCTGCACGCCGCGTGCACACAGCCCCTCTTGAGCTGAATCAAAGCATGCACACCTGGCACAGGCGCAAGCACCGGCGTGGGAGGTACCTGCAGGCGAGCAGAGCAGCCCTGAAGTCATCGAGCAGTTGCTGCACCCCGCGAGCACACAGCCCCTCCAGTGCCTCCACCGCCTCCCAAACCTCCCCCTCGCCCTCCCCCGCTCCCCTGCCCGAGCCGCCCGCCCCCCCTGCGCACGACCCCAGGAGGTTCTGCCCAGCTTCCCGCTGCACGAGCAGCAGCTTCTCCAGCACCTCCAGGTAGCGTGCTAGAGCCCACCGCGGCCCGCAGTCTATCACTGGCTCCGCCTGCAAGAGGGGGACAGACCGTATGGGGGATAACGCGTTTGGAGGGGATGCAGTGCGGTGCAAATGGATTCTTCAAGTACCATGCCAGGGCCCAGCGCGGCCCACAGTCTATCACTGGCTCCGCCTGCGAGGAAGGAAGGAGAAAACGGGGAGAGGAGGTGGGGCTTCTGTTATCAAGGCACCTCGCAAACGAGCAGCAGCTTCTCCAGCACCTCGAGATAGCAGGCTAGAGCCCATCGCGGCCCACAATCTATCACTGGCTCCGCCTGCGGGGTTGGGGGGGTGGGGAGGTGGAAAGGATAAGACGTTTTGAAAGGTTCTCGAGGTAGCGTGCCAGCGCCCACCGCGGCCCACAGTCAATCACTGGCTGGCTCCAGCTGCGAGGGGGCACAGAGAGGGTGGCGGAGATTAGGCGTTTGATGGGGCATGCAATGCGGTGCAAATGGGTTCTCGAGGTAGCGTGCCAGCTCCCACCGCGGCCCACAGTCTATCACCGCCTGGGAGGGGGGAGGGAGGAAGTGGAAGGGGGGATCGGGCTTCTGTTATCAAGGCGCATCACAAACGAGCAGCAGCTTCTCCAGCACCTCGAAGTAGCGGGCTAGAGCCCATTGCGGCCCACAATCTATCACTGGCTCCGCCTGAGAGGGGGGAGGGTCGGGACCGGTTACGATGAGCTTTCTCACGAACGAGCAGCAGCTTCTGGAGCACCTCGAGGTAGCGTGCCAGCGCCCACCGCGGCCACAGTTTATCCCTGGCTCCGCCTGAGATGACAAGGGGGAAGAGTGGGGTGGTTACGGCGTTTGGAAGGATCATCCTCAACTGACCTTTCCCCCATCCTCACTTCTCCTCCTCCCATGCCTACACCACTCCAGCCCTCCTCCCCTCCCCTCCCCTCCCCTCCCCTCCCGGCCCCTCTCTCACCTCCGCCACGACGCTCTTGACGGCCTGCAGGCTGTCCTCCCCCCTCTCCCCTCCCCTTCCCCGCGTCCCGCCCCTCCCTCCCTCCCCTCCCACCTTCCCCTCCCGCCCTCCCCTCCCACCTTCCCCTCCCACCTTCCCCTCCCGCTCTCCCTCTCCCCCTCACTCACCTCCGCCACAACGCTCTTGACGGCCTGCAGGCTGTCCTCCCGCGTGCTGTTCCACCGACTCACCGTGCGCGGACTCACCTATGTGTGGGTGGGGTGCGGGGAGAGGGGGGGGACGGGGGGGGCGTTTAGACGGGTGCGCACTAAAGAAGTTAGCACAGTTCTGTTCCACCAACTCACTGTGCACGGACTGACTTGTGAGAAATTGGTTATGGGTGAGGGTGAGGGGGGGAGGGAAAGAGGGGGAGTGGAGGGGTGGAAACGATAAGGCAGCAGGCAGGCGGGCGTGCCATGAGGAATGCTGGTGTGCGTGCTGTGATCAAAGCTGGTGGGACTCGCCTCCAGAGTGTGGGATTGGGGGGGAGAGAGAGAGGGACAGGCAAAGGGGCGTGCCTGGGCACTACGATGCAGTGATTAGAGCACTTAGTGATAAGAGCACCAGTGATAAGTGCACTTAGTGATAAGAGCACCAGTGATAAGAGCACCAGATAAGGGCACCAGTGATAAGAGCACTTAGTGATAAGAGCACCAGTGATAAGAGCACCAGATAAGGGCACCAGTGATAAGAGCACTTAGTGATAAGCGCACCAGTGATAAGAGCACCAGTGATAAGAGCACTTAGCGATAAGAGCACCAGTAATAAGAGCACTTAGTGATAAGAGCACCAGTGATAAGAGCACCAGTGATTAGAGCACTTAGTGATAAGAGCATCAGTGATAAGAGCGCTTAGTGCTAAGAGCACCAGTGAGAAGAGCGCTTAGTGATAAGATCACTCACATTGGCTCCAGGGAAGCCATAGTCCAGCTCAGCCTGAGCCAGCTCCTCCAGTAGCAACTCCGTCGGATCCCTCTTCTCCCCCTCCTCCTCTTCCTCCTCCTCCTCCCACCGCTCCTCCCCCTCCCCTTCCAACCTCGCTGCCGGCTCCCCTACCTTACCCCTCCCAATCCCCAACCCCTCACCCACTCCCACTGCGCCCACACTCTTCTTCCCTTCTCCCTCCTTCCATTCCCTCTCTTCACCCTCTTCCTCGTCGCCCTTTCTCACGCCAGGCCCCTCTCCTCCGTCTCCATCCTCCTCACCAGACAAATACCCTTCTTTCCTCACAACACCCTCCGCTCTCACAGACCCGCCAACCGACGCACCCCGAGGCAAGGACACCTTGACTCTCGCAGGCTCATCCAGGGATGCATCTCGGCGCATGGACGGCTCAGATGGCACGCTCTCACTGTACGCGCGGGAAGAGGAGCCACGGCTGTAGCTGTGGGACAAGTCGCGGGATGAATCATGCGCCAGCGCCCTCCCTACCGCCACCTCGCCTTCCTCTTCCTCCTCGCTGTCCCCCTCTTTTGACTTGAAGCTTGACTCTCGGCTCCTGTCTGGGCTCCTTTCGGGCCTCCTGTCTGCCCCTCGACTGGACCTGCCCCTGCCACCTCTGCCCCCCTCCTCGCCTTCCCCTTCGTCAGAGTCACTACGGCTATAGTCACTGTCACTGAAATCTGAACCATCACCATTCTTTCTTTCCCTGCTACTACTGCCTCGCCCCCTCCCAGATCCCTTCCTAGGACTATTACTCCTACGGTCTACCCCCTTCCTGCTCCTCTCTATGTCCCCCCCTTCCCTGTACCCTTCGCTGTCTGTCGATCTATCCTCGCTTCTGTCATACTCACTAGAAGTATAATCCTCATCCTCGTCATCGTACTTGTCATCATAATCATACGTTTTCTTCTTGTGCCTGTTACTCCTTTCCTCCCCATCATCGTAATCATCATCATCATAATCCTCTTCATCACTCACATAAGATGAACCAGTATCACTATCACTGTGCCTATCCCTCCTCTCCGCCCTCCTCCTCCCTCCTCCAACCTCATCCCGCGTATCCCCTCCGCCTACCCCCCTCGACCTCCCACCAACCTCCTCCTCCTCTTCCTCCTCACTCTCACTCGCCCCACTCCTCTCCCCTTCCTCCGAAAGATCCCTAGAAAACCGACTCTTCCTCCTCTCTCCCTCCCTCTCTCCATCTCCTCCCCTCCCCATTCCCCCCACATTCCCCAACCCACCCACACCCTCCTCCTCCTCCTCTTCCTGTCCCTCCCCATGCGGCTCATAAGCCCTGCCGTGCCCCCCATCGTCTGCCCTCTCCGCCCCCACCCATCGCTCAGCACTGCCTGACAGGTGGATGCTCGGGGCACCACTGACCCCTGCAGCGCCTCCTGCTCCGCCTGCCGCTTGCGCTGAAAGGGGGCAGAGGGGAGGAGCGGGGGAGAGAGGGATGAGGAGAAAGAGAGGGGCTTGAACTTGAAGGCACCACTGGCCCCTGCCGTGCCCCCCATTGTCTGCCCTCTCCGCGCCCCACTCTTCGCTCAGCACTGCCTGGCAGGTGGATGCTCGCGGCCCCACTGACCCCTGCAGTGCCTCCTGCTCCGCCTGCCGCTTGCGCTGAAGGGGGGGGGGAGGGGGAAGAGGAGCGCGGAGAGAGGGATGAGATGGGGCGAGAGGGATGAGGAGAAAGAGAGGGGCTAAACGTTGGAGGCGCCACTGACCCCTGCAGCGCCTCCTGCTCCGCCTGCCGCTTGCGCTGAAGGGGGGGAGAGGGGAGGAGATGGGGAGAGAGGGATGAGGAGAAAGAGAGAGGCTCGAACTTGAAGGCACCACTGGTCCCTGCCGTGCCCCCCATCGTCTGCCCTCTCCACTGCCTGGCAGGTGGACGCCCGCGGCACCACTGGCCCCTGTAGCGCCTCCTGCTCTGCCTGCCGCTTGCGCTGAAGGGGGGGGGATGGAGGAGGAGGGGAGAGAGGAGGAGAGGGTGAGACGGGAGGAGAGGGCGTATTGGAGGCCCCACTGAGCCCTGAAGTGCTTTTGCTCCACCTGACTCATGCGCTGAAGGCTTGGCCGGGGTTCGGGGAATCACGGATTAAAGAGAGAAGGGGGAAGAGGGGGGAAGAGATGGGGAGGGGGAGAGGAGAGGGGCTATATTTTTGGGCGCCTCGATAACAGTGCCTTGCACTGCCTGCCTCTTGCGCTGAAGGTTTGTTTGGGGTTTGGGAGTGAGGGGTCAAGGAGAAAAAGGATGGTGGGTGGGGGGTAAGGGAGAGAGGGGAGGGAGAGGAGCGAGAGGGATGCGGAACGGGAGAGGGGAGTGGGGAATAAATAGGCAGGTTGTTTGTGGGTGACATGACATGGGTTGGGACGGGATGGGAGGCAGTGGCGGTAACATGAAATAACAGGGAGGGCAGGGGAAGATTCTGGAAAGAGAGAAACGAAGGTTCTGGGAATTGAAGGGTGCGTACCTTCCACTCGGTGACTCGGCGCCGGATGGCTAGATTTGTCTTCATGTCCTTCACCTTGAGAGGCTGGCAACAGGAGAGCAAGCAGGCAGCAGGAGGGAAGGTGGGAAGAGTGGAGAGATAAGGTTGAAGGGTCCAAACAGGAGAGAAGGAAAATTGGAGAGAAGGAAGCCTGGAAGGAGCGGGTAACAAGCGGAGAAAACCAGGGAGTGTGACAACCCTCATCTGGCTAGAATCCCAATCACCTGGTTGGCAACCCATTTGGTTAGTAACCCACCTGGTTGGTGACGGGGCAACGCAGCTCGCAGTGGTCCCAGAACGTCTTCACCTGGGCGCGTTCACAGCACACGTTCGTCTCAGGCAGCTCCACAGGATCCTCCATCATCCTCCCAGTCAACGGACAAATACACTCCACAGGCACGCCCTCCCCGCGCGCACTCATGATCTCCTCCTCCCTCTGCCGCTGCAGCACCTCCATGCGCTTCTCCACCTGCGCGGCAAATTTCGGCCCCTGCTCGGCCGCTTTGTGATACCAGTACAGCGCCGCTACGGGACACTCCGTCACGCCAAACCCCCGCTCAAAGCACAGCCCGAGTTTCACCAGGTACTTGCCGCTGCCGAAGCTCGCTGCCCGGAAGAACCACCGGAACGCCTCCTCCTCGTCCTTCTCCACCCCCGCGCCTGATTCATAGCACTCCGCCAGAGCGTACTGTGCGCGCGCTAGTCCCTGCTCCGCCGCCTTTCTGAACCAGTACGCGGCGAGGGACTTGTCCTGCTTCACGCCAAAGCCCCCTCCGTAGCACACTGCCACGTCATACTGGGCAGCTGCCCTACCCTCCCCCGCCTTGCGAAGGTATTCCAGGAAAACGTCTCCCTCGCTGCTCAGGCGGCCCTCGGGGGGGATGGCGGGCGCCCCTGTGGGGCTGAGAGGCGGCTCCCACCCCGCTTTCCCCGCCTGCGCCACTGCTGCCGCATCCGCCGCCGCGATTGCCGCGGCTGCTGCTTCCGCAGCTGCCACCGAGCCTAGCCGCGTCACACCTTTGAACCTAGGCTCGGAAGAGGCATCGGTTCGCTTCCCAGGGAGGGTAAGGTTGGCCTCTCGGGAATACCCCCCTTCTGCAGCAGCATCCCCGCCTGTGCTACCCGCTGCGAATGTGTGTCTACCTACCCCCTCAAGCCTCCCTCCGCCCGCTCCGCCCGCGCCAGGCGCGCCCGTTCCCCCCGCCTCCCGTCTGCGCGCGCTGGACGGGGACTGGGGGGACCCCGCCCCCGCCGGAAGCACAGCCGTCACCCTCGCCGTGAAACCCGCTGCTGCCGCGCCACTGCCTACGTCCGCCGCGGCTCCCCCGCCGCCGTCGCCGCCGCCGCCTCCGCTGCTGGAAGAACCCACTCCGTGCGACGCGTCTATTGATCCCCCCCTCGGTCGAATCCTAATCACCACCTGCTTCCCCGCTAGGGTTGTCCCCCCCGCTCTACCCACAGACCCGCCCGCCATGACTCCGCGTATGACCGTCACCCCCGCTGCTGCTGCTGCTGCTGCTGCTACTCCCCGCACCGCCAAACCCTCCGCCAAACCCGCCGCCGCCGCCGCCGCTCATGGTGCTGCTGGTGCTGCTCGCGGTGCTGGGACGATTGGACGGCTCAGATCCTCCGCCTGCGCCGCCTAATCCTCCGCCGCCGGGCGGAACCCCGGGGGAGCCAATCGACGTGGGGGAGGTGCTCGCGCCGTCGTCCGACGACCCCGCTTGCCGCTCCCGCAGCGCCGCCGCGCCTCTCAGTATCCCCGCGCGCAAGCTCCGCTCCCGGCCTTCCTCCTCTTCCCCCTCCTCGTCTTCCCCGTACGCGTACTCCTCGCTCCCCCTCCCTGGCGCGCCGTAGCCCCCTCTCATGCCGAACGCGGCAGCTGCGAGCGGGCTAAGCGCTCTAGGGCTCCTCCCCTGTCTCGGACTAAGAGGCTTCTTCAGCGCGATATCGCCGCCGTGAGGACTAAGGTGCGGATGATGGTACTGCGGCTGCGACGGCTGATAAGGGACCTGATAAGGCGCCTGATAAGGTGCCTGAAAAGGGCCCTGTTGAGGGGCCTGATGAGGGTTTGCGGGATATCCGGATGAAGGACCGGTCTGTCGGCCTTCCACGGGTCGGTCAACCATTGTTCGACCTGACGTGGCGTCGTCTCCGGTGTAACCATCGTCGTCGCTCACACTGCGGCCACGTGGCACGCCCGCTGCTGCCGAAAGCGGACGCGGATTGTAGAAATCAGGAGGAGCGTCCGTGCTGTACGAGCGAACCGCGGCGATACCGGGAGATGCGGATAACGGCCTTCGTTCGTACGACTGCCGTTGATCAAACGACGCACGATGATCGAACGGCGGTCGGTGATCGTACGACAGCCGTTGCTCGAACGACGGTCGCTGCTCGTACGACGCACTGGCGGTGGCACGCGGTCGAGCGCTCAGGCCCGAGCGAGGCGGAGGCTGCTGCTGCAGCAGCTGCAGCCGCTGGCCGTACGGCACCGGCGCTGGCGGCATTCGCGGCGACGGCTCGTGCCATTGCTGCTGACCCTGCTGCTGCTGCTGCTGCTGCTGTTGCTGTTGCTGTTGCTGCTCCCAGTATACCTGCTGCTGCGCCTGAGCCTGCTGCGACTGAGACTGCTCCGCTTGGCCCTGCTGATCCTCGTACGATGGAAGACGAGCGTGCAGTCCGCGAGGCGGCGACAGCTCTGCGCCTAAACGACCGTTGGCTAGCGGCCTACCGTCTTGTGAGGTCCATCGGGAACCTCTGTATGGACCACTCATGGCTTAACACCTGTCGTGCATCGGTAAGGACGTCAAGCAACTCATCCAGTAAATATTAAATAATCATAGCCGTAAAGCGGAAAAAAAAATGGAGCAGTTTAATGGTTAAGTCGCTATTGTCCGTATAAGTTGCGCACAGCTCATTGGACAGCCATGACTACCCCTCCCTGCCTGGTGTTGCTGATGCCTCAATTCCCCACCAATTTGTGTGGTGGTGGGGGGGACCATTTTCCTTGCCGGAGTCTTCTCCTTCGAGGCTGTCTTCAAAAGTGTTGTGATATGGCCGTAGGGATGGCCATATCACCATACAGTACCACACCAAGCCATACCAAAACCTTCCTAACCTTGTCAATCCAACACGCAGATGGATGACCTAGGGATTGCCGTTCCTGACGGTGGAAAGGTGGAGAGGCTCCAACTTCGTTCCCCTTTGACGGAGCGCTGCCTGTCTGGATGATTGGCGTCAGGGATGACGTGGTTTTGCAGAACAGAAGAATCGCTTTGACGGAAAACACCAGCTTCGAGGTTCCACAGGGAAGTTCCGTGGAATTTTGGCCGTACTGTACCGCACGTAAGTTGGAGGCGCGATACAGAGAACCCGTTTCTAGTACCTTCCTTTCAGAATGACACAAGATGGTGTAACGTGGGAAAGTGGTAACGTTAAAAATAACCAGAAAGTAAGGTAGGATTTAGATAAGCCTTTGATCAAGACAGTAAATTACACGAAAAATATCATATTAGAATAGAAATTATAAACTCCAAGCATATTGGATGGTACAACAATTCCTTTCCATCAGATATGTGGTTTGCCAATGTAACACGCTTGGTGTTCAAATTTGAAGTCTCAAAAACAGCCCCATACGCAGGCAAACCATGCTGCTCAAATTTCGATTTACACCTGACACCGCTTATGAGCGTAAGTGGCTGACGATGGTATTCACAGGAGAACGGGTTACGTGAGGGAGGGTTTCATCTGGGGGCTTCACCAGATTACGTGAACAGCGGGTCTCTTCAGGCAGCACAGGCAAAAAGAAATGGAACAGTCTGTGCCAACAGTGTGAAGCCAATGGGAAATGGAAGAAATTCTTGTGGGGACCAGATGAGACCTCCTCCTACGCAGTCTAGTGTCTCAAGTAACTGCTAAATAGATCAGACGAGGTTGGGCAATCAGTGTACCATGTTTCGTGGCCCCTGCATTTTCCGTGCGTGGCACCCAAACCAACCACACGACCTTCACCTCTAGACACCAACATTTCCTCCTATTCGTCGGACCCCTGCAAGCATGGTTTCCCAGTTTCGCCCTTGGACGCCTTGACCTGGCCATCTTGTCGGCAGTGGTTCTCACTCTTGTCGGCGTGGTCATGGTTTTGGTGGAGCGAGCTGTGCGTGTGGTTTGGCACGATAGAGCACAATCGCTGTGTAGATGGTTGTCCCGTTTAGCTTCACTTTAGGGAGGCATGGGCCGGATGGACGACCTAGGACCAGAGCTTATCAGCCGGATACTATTGAAGAGCAGGCTGAGTCCAGTAGAGCTGTGCCGATTGTCGATACTAGGCAGGGATTGGAAGGAGGCGGTGGCGTCCGATGAGCTCTGGAAGAGCATAGAGCTAAAAGTTCCGGAATATTCGAGGCGCTTGTTAGTCTTGATCTCCAAACATTGTCGAAAGTTGTCCGAGCTTCATGTTTCTCGTGACCCGATTCATCCCAGAGGCCTTTCTGTACCATATTGGTGAGTAGCAAAGTCAAGAGACAAGAGTCGGAAGTACTCAGTTTACGCTTATTCATTATACACTTTCTACTAAAAGAATTCACGTCCTCCATTTTCTCAATTTCTGTTCGTTTCAGCTCGGCTTGGATGGATGGCGTAGAAGAGGTGCTGATATCGTCAAGTTTCAGTCTGAAAAGACTTCTAGTATCCACAGGTTGCAACATTTACAAGAAGGATTACAGAAGTGCACCCTTTTACACGGACTTCATGACTAGGGTTGCGAACCACTGCAGGTGCGTCAGTCAGTTTATTATTATTATTTTTTTTTTTTCGGTGTGCCCTTGTTCTGAACCATTAAGCTTTAATATACATTTTTCCGGTGCAGGTGTTTGGAGGTCTGCGAGATCTATTATAACGCAGGGAAGTCTGGACTGAAGAGTGACGTACCCCAATGGATATTCAATTTCATTCAAAGGTGCCCTCAGATAAAAGTTTTCCGTCTGTGGTCGCCTTCAGGAGACTGCGGTGGTCTCGATAATAAATGTATAGCTGCCATGGTGGCTGGTTGGGTCTGCCTTCAACACTTGGAACTCGCAGGAGAGGCTATCACTTTAGATGGTAAGTGATAAGTGCACCTCTATAATACTCTCTCTCTCTCGCTCTCTCTCTCTCTCTCTCTCTCTCTCTCTCTCTTTCTCTCTCTCTCTCTCTCTCTCTCTCTCTCCTCTCTCTCTCTCTCTCTCTCTCTCTCTTCTCTCTCTCTCTCTCTCTCTCTCTCTCTCTCTCCTCTCTCTCTCTCTCTCTCTCTCTCTCTCTCTCTCTCTCTCACACACACACACACACACGGAATCTTTCTTCCATGTGTTTTTATGACGATGTTCTAACATTACATTGATGCTCGTATGCTCTCCAGGGGTAACTCTTTTGAAGGCATGCAGCGGCCTCAAAACTGCACGTTTCAGCCACATCACCCTTGGAGCTAGTAAACGGCCAGGCTCGTTAAAGGTACCCAGCGACTACTGGGACAGCAGACCCTTCAAAGCTACTGATTTTCGAGAGCTGGAGCTGGCACACACTAACTGTGACCTACTTGACATTCAAATCATTCATCAGGAATTCCCAGGGCTAGATTCCATTCGCATTATTGAGTCCCCAGAGGTGTCTCACTTGGATGATTCTGGGGACGAGGCTGAGACTGTTGAAACCACATCCCAATCAGAGCACCTCCAACGACTCGCTGACCTTAGGTCTAGCTGTGCGGAGGACGACTCAGTGTCCTCCATAGTCACTTTCATTGACCTGTAGTTGTCTGACCTGTAGTTGTCTGACCTGTCTAACGTGACTAACATAGCACCTGTACAGTCAGACCAGTCTAGTGCACCCCAAATGTGACATTTATTACCAACTCTCCTGAATTTCAACTTAAAAAATGAATTGGTTTTGCTCACCCTACAGTACAAAAGAGGAGTGGAAGTATATTGTCATGTGGTGTTTGAACATGTATACGGTAGATTTATACGTCGGGTTTCTGGCTCCATTCTTTCTGAATCAGATGTAAGTGAGGACTATACATGCACGTCACATCCGCGTCACCTACGAATATCAGCACACTGTTGGATCCGCGGCTCGCCACTGGGCGGCTTGCTTCACCAAACTTCACCCACCATCGCCCCAACTGAACCCAGCCTGGCTGCGAATCAGCAGACCGCCTGTGATATGGATGTGCTTGCAAGAATCATTACGGTAAAATGCTATGCCGAACGGTACGGCGTTTTTCTACCTTGTTTTTCCTGTTCTGGTGGTGGTGTGTGACAGAACATTTTCTTGGTTCTGCCAAGCTGAACAGCTATTTCCCTGCCTCCGAAATCTCACTTCAATCCCATCCCATCCCGTACCATTTCCCAGCTGTAATAAGGTAGAGATGCAGATATAAGAGAATCCTCATGACGGCGGCATGTGTTATCGCAGTTCTTCGATGGCCTCTTGTCAAAGAGTTTCAGGACGGTTGTTGGTCAGTAGATTTGACCACGTTGCACCACAGCCATCGTTGATTGTCAAGGAATCAGGGACAAGAACGAATCACCGGAGTGCACGAATCACCGGAGTGAACCAATCGAAGTAGTGAGAAGGATGTTCGGAGAAGCCAGATTGTGAAAGTTGGTCGCTTTCTTGTGCGTGCATGGCGGGCTAGTGTACATGAAACGAAGAACCTGACAGGGAAACATACGGAAGGTTCAGCAAACAGGGTAACCCGACTACCACTAATTCTATCGACGCAGAATGGCCGAATCACGGAGTAGCGAAGCAGCGACCGCGTTCTCCGGTCCAATGCGGCGAGTACTAACGGGAGCAGAGGAAGCCACGAGTCCCACCGGAAGCCCCGCGCGGAGCGCTGCGAGAAGGAGCCGGCACCAACGGTCGTGGTCGGGACTACCGTTCGAGTCCTCTCCTTTCTCGTGGTCCGGACGGCGTTTCGATTCCCCTCAACCCTCAAGCTCGGGCGTGTTAACCAGCAGGTTGTACGAGCTGACGCTCGATGCGCCGCCAAATCAGGAGCTTCTGATTGTCCCCGCTAAAAGCAGCAAGAAGGCTGCTCGTGCACTGAAGGTGGACGGAGATTCGGAGATTTATAAAGAGCCTCCTTCTCCAGGCTGGGCAGGTGCGTGGTTATAAAGTTTCTGCATCTTATTTTTGATCGGTACTGGCACAGAAAAAAAGTCGTTTATTTTTTTTTTTCCCTTTTCTTTTTCTTGTTTTCTTGCGTCCGCTATGGTGTGTCTATGATTCCGTTGCGTGACGTGGCGTGCATTGTATGCGTTACCAAGTTGCGTTGACAGGTAGCTTGTTGCGTTGACAAGAAACTAACCCGCATGTCAGTCAGATGGTTTACTATCTTTTTCTCTCTTGTTTTTTCACCTTCCTTTATCTTAATTTCCGCGTGTCCCACGACAGAGCTGAAGGCGCAGCGATTGCGAGCGGATGGACGAGGAGAACCGTCGGATCACATCCATCGATCTCACGCACATTCCTGAAGCCAACTCCGAGAGCGACCCTCATGGCGTTCAAGCGAGCAGGAGGCGACGAGGGAAGGACGAGGACGGCGTGGTCATGTACGGTCTCGGCTGGCAGCGCAGCACAGACGTGGAAAGATCCAACGGTCCAGATCACGAGGTGGAGATTGAGATTCTTCCCCAGCGCATTGACAGTGGACGGGCGGGTGGAGGAGATGAGGTTGACTTGCACGGGCTAGGCTGGAAGCGTGGCGGGCATGCGGGGGCACGTGCTGTGGTGGAGTCTGAGGAGAGAGGAGGAGTAGAGGAGGAGGTGAGGCACGCAAGGAAGTCGCACAGGCGGCAGCAGTCGTGCCCTACAGAGTACAGCTTCGTTGAACGGACAGAGAGGGCTGACAGGACGCAGAGGGAGAGGGTGGAAAGGGTGGAAAGGGTGGAAAGGGTGGAAATGGTGGAAAGGGTGGAAAGGGTGGAAATGGATCAAGGGACAGAAGAGCAATGGTCCATTCAAGGCAGCTTACCTGCTGGCCTGCTGGCAGGCAGCAGCAGTGGCGCGCAGTGGGAGGATGCGAGCATGCAGGAGCAGCATCAGCAGCAGTTGCAGCAGGGGGACGTGGAGAATAGAAGCAAGAGTGAGAGTTCTGTGTGGCAGGAAGGAGAGATGCCTCGCGCATGGAGCCTGCAGCAGCGGCAGCTGCGGCAGGAGGACGCGGAGAACAGAAACAACAAGACTGAGAGGTCTGCGCAGCAGGAAGCAGAAATGCCTCGCGCACGGAGCCTGCAGCAGCAGCGAAGGGGCGTGCTCAGCCTTTTTGCCACGTGGCACAGCCGAACTCGCTCAAGAGCAGAGGAGTTCCAGTCAGCAGTCATGACCCTGTCACCGCCACCACCACCACCACCACCACCACCGTCCTCTCTACCCGCCTCCCCTCCACCAGCCTTCTCCTTCCCATCACCGACTCCCCTGCCTCCTTCAGTTCCCCCAGCTGCTCGCCACCGCAGGTGCTTCTCAGGGGTGCTGCAGCCCACGTACGCGTTAACAGAGGATCAGCCTACATACTCGTTAGCAGACCAGCCGCCCGCACGCGCGTTGACGGGACAGCAGCCCACGTATATGCTAACAGGTGCTGGTTACGAAGGAGGAGAAGGAGAGCCGGTGGCAGGCGCGCAGTCAGGCAGAGGAAAGGAGAGTTTTGGCGTGCAGCAGGAAGCACGGCTGTTCAACCCACTAGGCTCTCGCTTGAATCCGCACTTCAAGCCTTGCCAGCCTGGTCCAGCACCGGAGGGTGCTAGTGACGACCTTGCTGCTTCTTCTTCCTCACTCTCCGAATCACTCCTCCGCCTCCGCTGTCCCTTGCACGAGGAGAAGGCCCCTTGCCAGCCCTGCCAGGTCCCACCTGCACTGCAGGCTACACCTGGCCAGGGGTGGCCGGGGGAGGGTACACCTGGCGAGGTTGCATGGGAGCAGGTGAGCGGACGGTTCAAGGCACCACCTGAGAAAGCACCTGGAATTTCACATGAGAGCTGGCAGAAAGAGATGGAGGAGAGGGTGCGAGAGGCCTTTGCCATGGGATACCTGGCAGGCCTGCGCGATGCTGCTGCACACTCAGGCGGTGCTGTTGCTGCTCCGGCTGCTGCTGCACACTCTGGCGGTGCTGCTGCTGCTGCTCCGGCTGTTGCTGCACCAGCTGGGCAGTTTCTACAACAGAGAAATCTTCCCTCCAATTCGCATCACTCCACGTCCCTGGCCAAAGAGAAAGCTGCTCCTCGAATGTTCAAGAGCAGCACGGTGAGTGGCGGCTCGCCCTGTCAAGGCCGGTCCCCCCTGCAATGGGAAGGCGAGCCTTTTGAGTCGAGTCTAAAGAGCAGCACAGTGAGCGGTGGGGACTCGCACAGCCATGGGGGGTCCCAGTGGGATGGACAGGGGAGGTATGGACGCCTCTAGAGTCGACTAAAACAAGCTGCGCAGTGAGTGGAGGAGGCTCGCACAGCCATGGGGGGTCTCCACTGGGATGGAAGGACGAGGGGGAAGAGGGGGGGTTACAGATGCCTCTCAAGGCCCACACTCGCATCAAGGGCCCTCTACAGGCGCGCAGGGTGTTATCTGGTCCGCTACAGCCTCGCTCGGGTCCGCTACAGCCTCGGAATGGGCTGCTAGAGCCTCAATTCGGCCCGCTACAGCCTTGGGCTGGTCTGTTACAGCCTCGGTCAGATGTGCTACAGCCTCGGTCTGGCCCGCTACAGCCTCGGTCGGGCCCGCTACAGCCTCGGTCGGATCTGCAACAGTCCCATTGGCCTCCATTAGAGCAGCCAAACAGGGAAAGTTGCCGTTCAAGTACCAGCAGAGGCGACAGCACTGGCCGTGCTTCATTGCACACAGAAGGAATGGTAAGTGCGAGAATCCCGCTGAATCAGCTGCAGCCACAGCAACCACAGCCGCAGCAGCAAGCACAGGAAGGAGAACAGCAGCAAGAACAGAAGAAGCAGGCAGTAGAGCAGAGAGCAGCAGGAGCAGCAGCAAGAGGGGTGGAGGGAGCGGCGGAGGCAGGTGCGGCACAGGAGGAGTGGCAGCTTGGGAGCATGGCAGGAGGTGTCTGGTAGCATGGCGGAGGAGGAAGGGCCACAGGTGCCATCAGTGCAAGCACTCCCTGCACCCACTGCCGCTTGCTTTGAGCGTTCCTTTTCTGATAGCACAGGCGCAGGTATGGAAAGACAGGCTGTGGTGCAAACAGCAATAGCCTCTGCTGCCTCTTGTGCTGCTGCTGTCTCCTGTCCTGCAGCTGCTGCTAGTGTCGCTATGGGTGTTCGCAGTGACGCTGAGAGTGATGCTAACAGCTGCCGTTCCCCTGGTGGTGGAGGGAGTGTGGGAGTGGGAGGCGCTGACACGGGTGCCTCCTGCACTGGCTTACGCTTGAGCCGCAGACTCTTCTCCGGCCGACTGCTGCTCACCCGTGACTCGTCATGACTCGCCCATGACTCGTCATGACTCACCCGTAACTCGTTGTGATCCTCCCCTTGTGGAGGAGGGAGCGTGGGAGGGGAGACGTTCACATGGGTGCCTCCTGCACTGGCTTGCGCTTGAGCCGCAGACTCTTCTCCAGCCGCCTGCTGCTCACCGGTGACGTGACTCGTCGTAATGTGCATGCCGTGTTGTGGCTTGCGTTGCACACACGAGCCGTGACCAGACCAGATGCAATGCACGTTGGTTGGCACTCTATCCAGCAGCGAGGGTGGGATGCGTTCCGATTAATTGTTTCGCTAAGCGATGTGTTCCGCTAAGCGATGCCTACCAGTGTTTGGAGATATAAGGTAATTACATTACTAGGAAGACCAAACTATGGATACATATACATATAACTGACCTAAACTGTGAAAGTTTATAAAACAATGCGTGGTGGTGCTGCTGAATCTAGTTATCTAGGGTTGTAAGGCAAAGCAGATGGAGAAAGGATAAGGGCGAGGAGAAACAATACAATAGGCTGTTGACACTAGGGGGGCTGGGGACAAGGGATGGTGATGGATGGATGGATGGACGGACGGACGGACGGACGGACGGATGGATGGAGGGATGGAGGGATGGATGAATGAATGGATGGATGAATGAATGGATGCATGAATGAATGGATGGATGGGTGCTGGACATTGTGCAAGAGGTAACAAAAAATCTAAATCTCAGACGTGCGGCCCAAGCTCCTGGCCCCGATGTTGCTTCTTACAGCACCCTGTGATCCTGAGGTAGGTACGGTACTTTCCAGGGAGGAGCCTCAAGAGTCAGCAGCCTTTCGTCAGCTCAGCTCAGCTCAGCTCAGCTCAGCTCAGGTCAGGTGAGGCTTCTGGCGGCCATGTCGTTAACATTGGAGCTCGCGTCACGTGCCTTTTGCAGCAGCGATGAAACCATTGCTTCTCCATCCTCTTCTTCCTCCTCTTCCTCTTCCTCTTCCTCTTCATCTTCCTCCTCCCCTTCCCCCTTCTCCGCCTCCTCCGCATTCCCCCCCTCCTCCGCCTCCTCCGCTTTCCCCTCCTCCGCGTCTTCCGCCACCTCCGCGCTCGCCGCGGAGTTCCCCAGGATTCGCGCCACCATGGCGCCCTCGCCGGGTTTCGCGCCAGAAATCCCGCTCGGCGCGTCGTCGTCGTCGTCCGCCGTCAGCTCCCACGTGGCGTCGTGAAACGCGTCAGATCCGGGCGACGCGGGAACGAAACGGTCAGCGGCAGCAGCAACGGACTCAATCGCGTCAGCACCGCTAACAGTGACAGTTTCCTCGGTCGCCGCGACAAGCGGCGATGCCTTATACGTGGTACCATCAGTGGCGTCGCCTTTGCTTTTTTTCTTGCTACCCTTGAGAACTTTGACAATGGCGAACACCCCCGCGGCTAAGACGGCGACTGGAATCAGCAGCGGAAGCAGGCCTTTCTTAGGTTCGTCCTTCTTCGCCGCGCCGGTTATTGCGACGCCGATAGCGCCGAAGCTCACGGCGTTAGTCACGGGATCCGCGGCTTCGTCGGCGGTAGAAGCGGGCACTTCCACGAACTCCCGAACCTGAACCTCCTCCATGGGTCGGTTCGGACCAAACCGTTGAGCGAGGCACGGGGACCAGTGAGACGCTCACGACGGCTCCGCACGCACCTAAGCTGCGACTGCTGCAAAAACCGTCAGTGCGAAATGCAATCTCGAGGATGTCTCTGGCATGGAGTGTAGTGGTGTGGTCTTGGGGGCATTTACCCAGGGCAGTATGACAGAATGCCTTGCGCAGCGTCGCATTGGCGGGAACTCCGAGAAGTTAGGGCGGGATGGAGGGAGGGGATGCCTGACAAGAGCGTGGTGTTTGCGACGTTCGCGAGCCTTCGTGGGGGATGTGCGATGCTGGTTTGAGATGGACAAGTTCGTGCGAAATCCCAACATGTGCCAGATGATTTCAAAGTCGCAAATTGTTTTCGTTCCTTCCTTTCCACATGCAAATTTCCCTGAATTTCGTTTTTTGTCGAAGTCCGTATTGAGGCATTCAATAACAAGGATGCGCTGAGCTGCATACATCCCGCCGAAGTATTTTCTGCAGCAGAATTTCCCTAGAAATTTCACAAGAAAGAGCCTCGCAAACATGGGTATGGCGGATTTGTGACTAGAACTGCAAATCGGACATCAGCTTTGATTTTTGTTCTGCCGAGTTAGCCACCATGGCCCCCACAGGAGGCGATTCGGGCACGTTGCCTTGGTGCCAGCTGTTGCACTCCGATTGGCGGATGAAAAGAGCTTCGGAGGTTGGCGTCAGTGGCGAAGAGCTTACCCGGTTACCAGAATCTAAAGGTTCCAGAGCCGCCCGAAATTCGTTACAGACTGGCGGACAATTGCTTATAGGACAGAATGACAGCGTCGACAGCGAGGGGAACTGTGACGAGGATGGCTGGATGCCGGCTGTTGTTCCAGGAACGTACGTCTTTGCGATTGGCGGTGGATCCGTGACGGGAAGCAGGCCGCCCCAAACAGCCACTTCATGTCCTCTTCCCACTAAATTCCATGTCAATTAGTATCGTTTTGTGTCAATGACGTGTCGTGTCATGGCCTTGGATTCCACCAATCGCTGTCCACAACACTCTTTTGTTGTTCCAGCTCGTTTCCCTTGAATTTGTTATGTTTCCCAATCTCGACCCTCCCTCGTGCTTCCCCGTCGATTTGTCGACGTATTCTGACAACTCTCAAACTGTCCATCCTTCTCCTACCACTCCGACCCTCTCTCCTGCCGTCTCCTTCGTCCTGCTCACGAGCCTGGTGGCGAACAAGGTCGTCCTGGACCCTCTCTTTGGCACCAACACACGCGACTGCATCCCTGACATCGCCCACGCTGGCCGCCCTTTACAAACCACCCAACCGTAATTTACTCCCCCTTTTTCTTCTCACCCTCTTCCCCACAGAGTGCTTACGAGCCTGGTGGCGAACAAGGTCGTCCCGGACCCTCTCTTCGGCACCAACACACGCGACCGCATCCCAGACATCGCCCATACTGGCCGCCCTTTACAAACCACCCAACCGTAATTTACTCCCTTCTTCTCACTCCCTTCTCCAGAGTTCTCACGAGCCTGGTGGCGAACGGGGTGTTCCCGGACCCTCTCTATGGCACCAACACGCGCGACTGCATCCCTGACATCGCCCACACCGGCCGCGCCTTCTACACCTTCCTCTTCCGCCGCTGCTTCCACCTGCATTCTAGGAAGGTTCCTGCTGTCAAATTCTGTCAGGCTCTGCGGCACTGCCAGCAAGCCGTCTTTTCTGTAGCTGCTGGTGGTGATGGTGGTGGTGATGGTGATGGTGATGGTGGTGGTGGTGCTGCTGCTGCTGGCGATAAGAGGTGCTCTAGCCGGGATGACTGTAGTAGGTGTGAGCGCCATGAGTGGGAACGTGTGTGGCTGTGCTTCCGTGGCGTCAACTACTCGCTCTCCGTGTTCCTCAACGGCCGCCAGCTCAGCATCGACCAGCCAGCTGGCATGTTCCTGCGGCGCCAGCTGGACATCACTGACCTGGCCAGGAGGGGGGACGGTGGCAAGAGCCATTGCAGTAATAGCTGTTGCAGTGGCAGCAAGGGCTGTAGCAGCAAGGGATGCAGCAGTGAATGCAGCAGCAACGGCTGTAGCAGCAGCGAGAGCACGAACCAGTTGGCAGTTTTGGTGAATCCAGTGGATCACCCGGGGAACGTGGATGGGGGAGGGCAGGGAGGGGACCACCAGGTACAGTCTCGTGCAGGGAGGGCGGAATGTGTGTGACACATGCAATCGGATCGGACACATGCCAATTGCTTTTTTTTTTACGCGATTTGACATGCTTAATGTACCATGCTTAATGTGCCACGCTATGCTATGCCCCCATGCATGCAGGTGGCCAAGGACGTCACAGCTCAATACGTGGAGGGCTGGGATTGGATCATTCCCATTCGGTACCGTTCCCGCTTTCTCCTTCGGCACCACTCTTCTGCACCGCTGCGCTTGATGCGCTCTGCACCTGTAGATATCTTCCCTGTCATTCCAGTGATGATTGCCAGCAGTCCTCCCCCCTTCTCCCTCATTCCAGCCTGATGTGCTTCGCTTTCCCTTCCCTGCTTCCTTCCAACCGCCCCCGCTTCGCCTGCTTTGCTGAAAGCCCTTTTCCTCCCCTCTCCCTGTGGGGTGGCAGGGACCGAAACACTGGCATGTGGGATCAAGTGCACGTTGCTGTGACCGGGGTGAGTGCGGAGCGGAGGGGTAGATGTGGTGGTGTGCTAGTGTATGCGAGAGGGAGAAATGGAAGGAGAGGCAGGGGAGAAGAGTGAGAGACAGAAGAAGGATGGGAGAGAGAAAGAGGGCGACTGCACGTGCAGTTGGCGATGTCATTCTGCTTACTCGCCCTCAGGATTCTGCTCAGATTCTGAGCCTCGTTTCCCTTCCTGGAGAGGCAATGAACTATCCCGCAGATGCTAACCTGCTTTCTTACTTCTTCCTTGCCCTGCACACCACGTCAGCATGCTCATGCCATTCGCCCCGCCCCGTGTCCATGCGTGCACCCCTCTATGCAGCCCGTGACCATCGGAGACCCTCACCTCGTGGCTATCTTCGCATCCCAACTCCGTGATGACATGCATGCAGCTGCATGCATCCCTGCACGCAGAAGCCATTCGTTCCTTTCTCTCTCCATGCGTGCACCCCCCTATGCAGCCCGTGACCATCAGAGACCCTCACCTCGTGGCTATCTTTGCATCCCAATCCCGAGATGACACACATACAGCTTCATGCATCGCTGCACTTAAAGCCATTCGTCCCTGCCTTTGTCCATGCGTGCACCCCTCTATGCAGCCCGTGACCATCGGAGACCCTCACCTCGTGGCTGTCTTCACATCCCAACGCCGAGATGACACACATGCAGCTGGCGAACGCGCACATGCAAATGAGCAGCTGAGTCATCCTGCAGCTGTGGCTGGCGGATCGAGCAGTGGAGTGTCGCCGCAAGAAGCTGATAGATCCACTCACCAGCGCCTGAGTCATCGTGCAGTTTCTGCTGGCGGGGAGAGCACTGGATCCAACCATGCATCAGCTCTGCCCCACACCATGCCCACTAGCCCGCCCGCTGCTTCCTCCTCCTCCACTCGCGCCCCTCCCGCCCCTCCCTTCTGCCCTTCCTCCGCGTCTCTCCACTGCTCCCTCACGCTCACCAACTCCCTCCCCCTCCCCCTCCGCACGCGCCTGTCTCTCGAGCTCTCTTTCACTCCCGGCCCTGACCAGAGGGGCGGTGCAGGGGCGTTTGGAAGGGGAGGGGCGAGGGGATGGGGGGGTGAGGGAGGAGAGGGGAGGCCGAGGCATGAAGATGAGGGAACGGCGAGTGGGGAAAGGGAGTGGGAGGAGGAGGAGGAGGAAGGAGAGGGGTTTGTGATGGTGGAGGGAGTGAGGGAGGAGGAGGTGGAGGTACCGGTACCCAACAGCAGCATCACTCACACATTCCAGCCGGTATGATCTAGATAACACAGGGAGCGAGCTCGCATGCTGATTCGTGAGATACATTTTGAGGCGCCTAAGAAATGCCTGTCAGCAGTAGCATCACTGAGACATTCCGTCCGGTACAAAGCCAAGACACACAAATGACGGACGTATTTGACTCCCACTCCATTTCGGAGGAGCATGCCTCTGACTCTGTTGCAAGTGTTGCTGTGCTAACCTTCCCCTCTCCCTCCTCTCCCCTTGCTGCAGCTACTGGTTACCGGTCCCCATCTCTGGTGGCCGAATGGCATGGGTGCACAGCCGCTGTACGACGTCGCCATTACTGCCTCTGTGCTGCACCCCCACTACCATGCAATCCCTGCTCCTGTGCCTCTCCCTCCCTCCCCTCCCCCCTCCCATCCTCACCCCCCTGCAGCTACTGGTTACGCGGCCCCATCTGTGGTGGCCCAACGGCATGGGTCCACAGTCGCTGTACGACGTCGCAATCACCGCCTCTGTGCTGCACCCCGCCTGCCTTGCATGCTGCCACCCCACTGGGAAAGCTTGCAACTTAGATCCAATGGCAGCACCTCACACCACACCCTCACTGCCAGTGGCAGCACCTCACACCACACCCTCACTGCCAGTGGCAGCACCTCACACCACACCCTCACTGCCAGTGGCAGCACCTCACACCACACCCTCACTGCCAGTGGCAGCACCTCACACCACACCCTCACTGCCAGTGGCAGCACCTCACACCACACCCTCACTGCCAGTGGCAGCACCTCACACCACACCCTCACTGCCAGTGGCAGCACCTCACACCACACCCTCACTGCCAGTGGCAGCACCTCACACCACACCCTCACTGCCAGTGGCAGCACCTCACACCACACCCTCACTGCCAGTGGCAGCACCTCACACCACACCCTCACTGCCAGTGGCAGCACCTCACACCACACCCTCACTGCCAGTGGCAGCACCTCACACCACACCCTCACTGCCAGTGGCAGCACCTCACACCACACCCTCACTGCCAGTGGCAGCACCTCACACCACACCCTCACTGCCAGTGGCAGCACCTCACACCACACCCTCACTGCCAGTGGCAGCACC